TATATATATATATATATATATTAATAAAGATAAATATATATATATATAGTTTAATTAAAATATAGGAAATTGAAATAATTTTAGTGATTTCTATTGTGGTTAATTTTTTAATTTTTCTTTAAAATAATTATTTAAAGAAATTTAGTATTGAATAAATAACTAATAATAGACTAATACTGTAAGTTAAAAATAAAAAATAAAAATATTACTACAATTAGAATAAATTAATAGTCTAAAACAGTATAAATTAATATCTTATAAATAAATATAATAAAAAGGTTTAAATATATTTTTAGACTCGATAAAATAAGTGAGCTTTTAGTTTTGATCTAAAAAAAATTCTTTGTTTTTTTTTTAAATTTATAATCATTATGTTTAGTCCTTATAAAATATTTTTGATTAATATAAAATGAGTAATTTTTTATTTTAGTCTCCATAAATTTTTTTTCTTCTTTAATTTGCATTTCTTTAAAATCTAAAATTAATATATTTTTGAATTATAATGATGATTTCAAGATAAATAAATAATATTTTTTTAAGGACTTATATAAAAATATTTAGAGACATCATACATTAATATGATATCAATAATAATTATAGGTAACATTTGTGATGGTTATTTGACTTTTTAATAAATTAATAAATATGTAGTTAACAATAATTATGAAACATAAACTAAAAATAATAACTTTAAGTTTTTTAAGAATGAAAAAAAATTGTAGAAATTAAAATTACAGCTGGCTCACTTTTCAAGAATTAAAAAATATTTAAATCATAAAAAATTATAAAAATAAAAAATAAGTATAAGACTGCTAATAAAAATTAAAAAATAAAAACTAGCAGATAGTACATATCCGCAAGAGTTGAACAAGTGAATCTGGTTGCAGCTCCACTTCAATGCTAGTCCATGTAGTCAACACATTTACAATCTCTAAGGAATCAGTTTCACACAGTGATTTAAAAACCGGACCGAACCGGCCGGTCGGACTGGTTGGACCTGGAACTGGTGGTCCAGCCGGTCCAAATTTTAAGTTGGATCGGTTATGCAGTCGACCCGTTTCAAACTGGATTGAACCGGTCAATTTTCCGGTTCAACCGGTGAACCGGTGGGTCAAACCGGTTCAACCATTTTTTTTATTTTTTTTTTCTTTTAATTTTTTTAAGGGACCATAAACCACAAAAAATAA